CGCGAAGCTGGCGCCACAGCTTTGACAACTGTAGGGTTTTTCACCCGTGTGTGTCCTCGTGTGTTTGCGTAAGTTGCCGCTCTCCCTGAAGCTGGCGCCACAGCTTTGACAACTGTAGAGTTTCTCACCAGTGTGTGACCTCATGTGTCTGCGTAACGCGCCACTCTGCGCGAAGCTGGCGCCACAACTTTGACAACTGTAGGGTTTTTCACCAGTGTGTGTCCTCAAGTGTGAGCGCAAGTTGCCACTCCGCCAGAAGCTGGCGATACAGCTTGAACAATTGTAGGGTTTTATACCATCAGTTTGTGTCCTCGTGTGGTTGCGGAGGTCCCTCTGGTGCTTGAAGGTGGCCCTGCAGGTGGCACAGCGGTGAGGCTTGTCCGCGCTGCTGGCCTCGGCTGGAGCGCCCTGGTCCACTCCCCGCTGCTCTTCGCCCGCCGTCGGCCCGCCGCTGAGCACGCCGGCGCCACAGGCCCGCCGCCGACTTTTCTCCGCATGACACCTGCCGACGCGGTGGTGCTGGGCCACCAGCAGGGGGCTGACGAAGCAGAGTTTGCACGCGCCGCACGGGAAGATGCCGGCTATAGAGTAAAGAGCAGGAGAGAGCAGAGGGTCAGAGTCTCATTCGCGCCAGAGGGGAGAGGGCATGTTCTAGTCTGACGATTAACGACTAGAAAACCTCGCGCGGGACGAACTTGGTTTCGCCAACGACCCCAAACCCGAGGCCATACTCACTGAGGGCTCGCGTGTCCTGCGTGGGGTCATTGTAGAGCTTGGGGTCGAGGCCGAGCTCCCTGCCGTACGAGTCCCCGTACCAGACCAGCAGCTCCGTGTTGGGCGGGATGTCCCGCACCACCCGGTAGTAGAGGTGCCCCTTGTACTGGTACGGGTACAGGTTCTCCTCCCCCGAGTGGCGCGCGCAGTTGACGAACCTCATCCAGTTGGACGTGGCCATGTCCAGGGCGTCGACGCAGTGGGTGGCCTTGCCCTCGCGGCGAATCTGCGAAAGAAAATTTGTCTTAAAGAGAGAATTCAATATAAGTATTAACAGTGAACCAATAGCACGCTTGGCGCGTAACCAGAGCATGGCCTGTCCCTCACCTCCCAGCCGTAGCCCGTCTCCTTGTTGGCAGGCACGTTGTCGCCCTCGTACGGCCCGAAGCGCACCCTCCTGGGCACCGCCTGCTTGGTCCACACGCCGCGCCCCGCACCCGGGATCTTGCTGGCCTCGATTACCAGCTGGGGCGGCACCGTGAGCAGGGCCCGCTCGGGGTGGCCGACGGCGACCTACGGATAGGGACGTGAGAAAGCCAGCGTAAAGATCGGATGCATTTCAATGGACTCTGCGCCATGCGTGGTCGACAAGTCCGAACCGAAAACATACCTCTGTGTCCGCAATGATCTCCAGGGCTCCGTGGACCGGGCAGTCGCCTTCAAACTCCTCCTCGCAGTCATCGCAGACTGCAACAGAGCGAGAGGGTTATTTACCTGCGGTACTCGTCCTGCCGCGCGCAACGGCCGAGCCGGACTACTTGAACTCACAGAGGAAGTCGTCGTAGTCGGGGACCTCGGGCTCCGCGTAGGACCTGCGGGTGCCTGCCCGCGTGGGGTAGCGCGACGGCTGTGGTGGCGCCTCGGGTGCAGCAGCCGAGGAAGATGGGACGCGACGACGCTTGTTCCGCCTCGCCATGGCCGTGGGTGCTGCTGCGGGCGTCCCTGGGGATGGACGACAGAGGGACGGGAGGAGTGCCGAGGGTCGTTCATACTGAGGGGCAGGGGATGCACTGCAATGCCACTTACCTCGGTGGGCTTTCCTTGGCATGTGGCTGGGAAAGGAATCCTGGAGGGTTAGAGGCCAGGCCTGTGCGAACGAACAAGAAACGCAAACGAAACAAGAATTAGCTTTGGTTTATAGACAGTCCCCAAGACTGACTCTACCAGAAGAAAACGTGCCCCACCTCCCCCCTTTTTCTACCGCCTAAAGTTTAACTCTCAACATGAAAACGTGTTGAAGAAGTTGTGAGGTTACTGCCATCACTAACCTCACAAGAGTTCAAAACTATTGGTTACCGCAGTGCTGCATGCGATAACTCTTCTTCTTTTCTAGTATGTGCACAGATCCTTCTATTCTTTCGATGAGAAAAAAGCTTTGATATCCTCAAACTCACTTGCATCGGATTCTGAAATTTGATGGTAAGCTCGATCAGGCTCAACCCGAAACCAACTGTCCGAACCGCGAACCGCGCGAAGGGAAACCGCCACGCCACGCCACCACCAACCGCAACCGCCAACCATCACAGGAGTACGCTCAGAAAACAACCGCTCATTGCACACTTCTCTGTTTATTTTACAAGGTAGACGCACGTTAAAACCGTGTGAGGCTGAGCTAAATGTGCGTCTACCTTGGCCTGCGGCGCCGCTAAAGTCAAAATTTATCGAAAGTTTGATTCAACTAACACCTTTGAAATCCCTGTGCTGCCCTTATTCCTTCTCGGTCAGGACCAGTGGTCTAAATGAATATGGTGTCCAAAAAATAAAAAATAAAACAAGTAAAATGCTGTGTATTGGAAGCTAAGTGTGCCTCAAAATTTAAATGAAATTACATAGTTCAAAATTATCTACAAATAAATGTGGAAGATCAAACATATGTTCTTTTTATCTTTTTAGCAATAATACTCAACTATTATCAAATTCTAAATTGAATTTAAGGGTTCAATTAATTTCTGTTTGTTCATGGTTAGTAGAAGGGTGGATTCATTGATGTAAATTAAAATTCTTATTCCATGATGCACTAACAAACCTAACTGAATACCGTGCGTTTAGTTCAATTAACGCCTTTAAAATCCCTGTCCTGTTTGGTAGATCGATTTCTGTTTGTTCCTTTCAATATACTCTATACTCAATAATCACCGTTCTGCCTTACAAATTTTAGGTTTAACGTCACAAATTAATATTTGTTTCAAAACACATATGTGCTTATTTGTTAAATCACTTTCCACTTGAATGAAAGAGTTATACTATTATAACTCTTTCATTAAAGCTTTCCAGCAACACACGTGTTAACATTACTATTTTATGCATTTTTAAATTTGTTTAGTTGAATATGTATTTGCTACATTTATTCATTGCATTCATAATATTTACTGTAGCTCATAG